GGGTCTAGGCCCGAAACGTCAGCCTCTCTGCTCCTATGATGCTGCTTGGCCTGCTGTGTTCATCCAGCCCTGCACCTTGTTGTCTCAGTAAGAAATAAACCCTGAACTGTTTTACAAATAAAGTTAGTCTGTCAAAAAAATCCACAAAATTATGACAAATAAAGAGAAGGCAAATATAGTGAGGCTAGAGGGGAACTGTCCTCACTCAGATCTTCAACTCTCCATTTCCAGCAACATCCTGGTAAACTTTTATTGAACCCTCTCAAATTTAATAATATCCTTCCTATAGCAGGCCAACCAGAACTGCACACAGAACTCCAGAAGAGGCCTCACCCAGGTCCTGTACAACCTCAACATGACGTCCTGATTCCTGTACTCACAGGTCTGAGAAATGAAGGCAAGTGTACTAAATGCCTTCTCAACTACCCAGTCTACCTATGATGCAAATTTCAAAGAATTATGTACCAGAACCTCTAGGTCTCGCTGTTCTACTACGCTACCCAGGGCCCCACCATTAACTGTATAAGTCCTGTCTTTGTTAGTATTAATCTTAACAGAATTGAGAATGAGAGGTCACCAGGCTTAAAGTAATTGGTGAAAGAAGCAAAAATGATATGAGAAAAAGTTTTGTCACATAGGGAGAGATTATGGTCTGGAATACACTGCATAGAACTGGTGGAGGCAGTTTCAACGAATGCATCTGACAGAGAGTTAGACTGTAATTTAAAGAGGAGCAGGGTGCAGGGTTACAGGGAGAAGACAGGAGAGGGGCATGAAGTGAGATGCTTTTCCGGAGAGCTGGTGCAGACCTGATGGGCACAATGCCCTCCCATTCTGTGCTATAATAACTCTGTGATTCTGAGAATGCCATTTCAAACAAACTCTGCCATTCAAACTCATCGTGGGCTTTCATTTCACTTTAACACCCAGTCCCTACAACCTTTGGCGACAATGTCACCCGAAGGTTGCAGGAACATCAACTCATATTCCGCTTGGGAACCCTGCAGCCCAATGGTATCAATGTGGATTTCACAAGCTTCAAAATCTCCCCTCCCCCTACCGCATCCCAAAACCAGCCCAGCTCGTCTCCGCCTCCTGAACCTGTTCTTCCTCCCACCTATCCCCTCCTCCCACCTCAAGCCGCACCCCCATCTCCTACCTACTAACCTCATCCCGCCCCCTTGACCTGTCCGTCCTCCCTGGACTGACCTATCCCCTCCCTAACTCCCCACCTACACCCACCTTTACTGGCTCCATCTCCGCCTCTTTGACCTGTCTGTTTCCTCTCCACCTATCTTCTCCTCTATCCATCTTCTATCCACCTCCCCCTCTCTCCCTATTTATTTCAGAATCCCCTTCCCCTTCCCCATTTCTGATGAAGGGTCTAGGCCCGAAACGTCAGCCTTCCTGCTCCTATGATGCTGCTTGGCCTGCTGTGTTCATCCAGCTCTACAACTTGTTATCTCAGATTCTCCAGCATCTGCAGTTCCTACTATCTCTTATCATCGATCTATTTCAGCCTTAGATATATTCAACAATGGAGCATTTACAGCACTGAGGGAATTCTAAAGATTTGGCATGGTTTGAGTGAAGAAATTTCTCCTCATCTCAGTCCTAAATGATCAGGCCATTATCCAGGGACTGTATCCCCTCGTTCTAGTCAATTCGGTGCAGAGCAAACAACTTCTCTCCATCAACTCAGTCAGAATCTTGGGTTTGAATGAGGTCACCTTGCATCCTTCTAAACATCAGAGAATATAGACCCACTTTATTCAGCTTCTTATCATACGGCAACCTTCTCATCCCAAGGATCAATCTCGTGAGCCTTCACTGAACTTCCTCCGATGCAAATATATCCTTCCTTATAAATGAAGACCAAAACCATTCTTTGTGTGGTCTCACTAAAGCTCTGCACAATTGTAGTAAGAATTTTTATTCTTGTACTTCAATCCTATTGTAATAAAGGCCAACTTGTAACTTGTGTTCTTTGTTGCTTGGTCTACCTGCATGCTAACGTTTTGTAAAAACCAAAAGAACTGCGGATGCTGTGTATCAGAAACAAAAACAAATTTGCTGGACTTTGTTTTTGCTAACTTTTTGTGTTCCTTGTAAGAGTACATCAGAGATACTCTAACCATTAACGTTTCCAAGTTTCACACCTTTTACAAAATATTCTACTTTTCTATTCTTACAATCAAAGTGAAGAACCTCACACTTCCCCACATTATATTCCATCTGACACCTTGCTGCCCACTCACTGAACCTGATTGCAGATTTGTGGCCTCATCACAGTACTTTCTAGCTTTGTGTTATCAGCAAACTTGTGTTTGTTACAGTATGTCGCTTGGACTAAGTTAGTCTCTCCCAAATCTTTACCCACTGTGACCCCATTTTGAAGCCTGAAGATTGTCACATCTCCTCAGTGAGAGCTGAGAGAGTGGCAACAAAGACAGAAGTTGCTGGAAAAGCTCAGTGAGTCTGGCAGCATTTTTGAAGAAAAAATCGGAGGTAACACTTCTGGTCTGGTGACCCTTCCTCAGAAATGATGGCAGCTAGGAAAATGTTGGTTTATATGCAGGACGTAGGATGGGGGGAGGGGGTAAGGAGTAAACAATAGGTGGCGACAGACCCCAAAGAGAGAGAAGAAGATGGATAGAAGAAAGAGTTGATAATGATCTGACCAGGAGGGTGAATATCTGTTTATGGAGACTGTTAATGGCTAATTATAGGTAGTGTGTAATGGTAGGCTATGTTTTAACAAGGCCTGGTGTGAGGGGTAAGCAGTTTGGACTTAGGAGAGTTGAGGTCCTAAAATTATTGAACTTAATATTGAGTCCGCAGGGCTCCAGGGTCCCCAAGCAGAAAATGAGGTGTTGTTTTTCCTGCATGCACTGATCTTCGCTGGAACACTGCAGCAAGGCTGAGACAGAGATGTTGGCCAGGGAACAGGGTGGTGTGTTAAAGTGGCAGGCAACTGGAAGCTCAGGGTCTTTTTTGTGAGCAGAACATAGATATTCTGTGAAGCGGTCACCCAGTCTACGCTCCATCTCTCCAATGTAGAGGACACCACATTGTGAGCAGCAAATGCAGTAGACTAGATTCTGGGAAGCACAGGTGAAGTGTTGCTTCACCTGGAATGTATGTTTGGGCCTTTGGATAGTGGGGAGAGAGGAGATAAATGGGCAGGTGTTGCACCATCAGCGGTTACAGGGAAAGGTGCCGTGGCACTGTTAGGGGAGTGTTGGGAGTGAAGGAAGCTTGGACCAGGGTGTCCCAGAGGGAATGGTGCCTGCAGAAGGCAACAAGGGAGGGGTGGGGAATATGTGTCTAGAGGTGGCATCTCGTTGGAGGTGGTGGAAGTGGTATCTGATGATCTTTGAGTGTGGATGCTAGTGGGATGGTAGGTGAGGATAAAGGGAACCCTATCGCTGTTGCGGGAGGGAAGAGAAGGGGTGAGGGCGGAAGTGCAGGAGATGGTTCGGACCTGGTTGAGGGTCCTGTCAGCCACAGAGCTGGGAATCCTCGGTTGAGGAAGAAGGTGGACATTTCGGAGGCTCCCTTGTCGAAGTTGGCCTCATCTGAACATATGCGACGGAGACAGAGGAACTGAGGGAATGGGATGGAGTCTTTACAGAAAGTGGGGTGTGAGGATGTATAGCCCAGATAGCTGTGGGAGGCAGTGGGTTTGTAATGGATATTAGTGGCCAGTCTATCCCCAGAAATGGAAACAGAAATATCGAGGAAGGAAAGGGAGGAGTCAGAGATAGACAAGGTGAACGTGATGGCAGGGTAGAATTTGGAAGCAAAATCGATGAACTTTTACAATCCTGGATGAGAGAGGGAAGCAGCATCGATGATATCATCAATATATTGGAGAAAGAGTTGTGGGTGGGGGCCGGAATAGGACTGGAACAGTGAATGTTCCACATACCCCACGAACAGACAGGCATAACTGGGGACCATGCAGGTATCCATGGCAACTCCTCTTACCTGAAGAAAATGACAGGAGTTAAAAGAAAAGATGTTGAGGGTGAGGACGAGCTTGGCCAGGCAGAGGAGGGTGGTGGTGGTGGGTGGAGACAGTTCAGGTCTTTGCTCCAGGAAGAAGCGGAGAACACTGAAACCCTCCTGGTGGGGGATTCTGTGAGTGTGGCAGCTTGTTAGAGAGGGAGCACAGTTGGTACAACTCAATAGGTACTCCACAGCAACCACTTGCAAATCAAAAACATCAGCTTGTGACCCCAGTTGGGACCCTAACCGCAAATTTGAGGAGCCATGGTCTAAGCCATTAAAATAGATTGTAAGTAGCTACTAGTCTCAGCTTACAAACCTGAAAATGCCCCATTTATTCCTGTCTGTTAACCAATCCCATACCCACGCTGATGTATCACCCATAACTCCATGTGCCCTTATCTTATTGCAATAACCTTTTTACTTTTTCATGGAATGACAGCATTGTTGGATAGGTCAGCATTTATCGCCCATCTGTAATTGCCCTGAGAATAATTAAAAGTCAACCACATTGTTATGGATCTGAAATATGCTAATATGCTTCTCAAATAGTTCTCAAGATGTTCTTTTAATAAATGCATTCATTTCAAACATTTTCCAGCTTCAATATATTGTCAGTGAGATATTTTAGCCGAACGTGTTTTTAGATCTCTCAGTTCCCTGTTGCGATGCAAAGATGTTTTCAAATGAGCTTCATGTATGCAAATTGGATATTAAGATAACATTACCCCATCCTTCAGCAGCTTCCAGGTATAATCAATAGCACAGATCACACCGGTCCTTCCACAGCCAGCACTGTAAAGTAGAGGCACATTTTAGGAGATGGTATAAAAGAAAACAAGGCAATCCTTTCCCATATGACACCCCCATTGTTCTTTTCAGTGAGGGTCATGATTTCCAGGCTCAGAATTGAAAAACTACAACCAGCAGAACCTCATTGCTGTATAGCAGGCCATGTGGTTATTTCAATGTTGGCTTGGTTTGCCATCAGTATTGTTAGCTCTGATTGTGGCTGAGGACACACTTTCAGCAGGTTAGGGGGACTGATTGACTACCCAACGCTGCAGGAATGTTATCCTTGGTCAAGGAACCCATCCAATCGGGAGGGAGTTCAGGGGTTGGTGAGAAGGGTGAGGAAATGTGAAATGGGAAGAGATGTGGGGACTGGAGGAACTTCTTTAAAAACTCACATTACACCCCCAGCCACCAGCCTGTTTGTTGTGGGTTTCCTTTGATCTGTTTGATATATAGTGACTGTCTCACCATTTTATATTAGAGAGGATCTGGGACTCTATTTGTGCTGATTTTCACATTAAAAGAGCCCTTTGCTTGCCTACAGTAAACATCTCAAGTCCAAACTGAAGCTTGGGTGGTTGTGTGGGGTATCCAGGAGGTAAATTTTCTACCCCTAGTCGTTAACCCACTAATGAGACCAAGGGATGTGTGTACATGGGAGCACTACCAGGTCCAATCTCCTTTAGGGGTTACGTATGACACTGACGCGGGAATGTATCACTGTTCTTTCAATATTGTTGGATCAAAATCCTGGGATTCCCTGCCTACACAACATGGTCTACAGCAAGAGGTCACATGTCACTTCAGAAGGGAAATAGGGACAGACAATAAAACATTGAATGGGGAAAAATGAAGTTTGGGATTAAATTAGGTCAATAAAATCAGGGGACCAGAATTAAGATTAGGATGCTATTTTCCCAACCATTTGGGTTTCCCTTTTACCATGTATTTATTAAAGGTGTTTAAGGCTAGTTAGCCAACATACGCAGTAAAACCATAATTACTTTTCTTGTCAGGTTGTGTAATCACAACAGTGGAAAAAGAATGATTACCAAGGGAATACTTCTCACTGCTGGGTTTTTCCCCTTTGACAAGTCATAAGATATTAGAGAGTAACAGAAGGCCTGAAGCTGAGCCCGAAGCTGTGAATTTGTTGTGGTCTGTCAGTCGTTCCTTTCTGCTGTTTGGAGTTCAGTGCATTACCTGCAGTGGATACAGATGGGATTGTCATCGTGTGGTTGATAATGCCTCATGTCTCTGATCAACTCCAAGATGGGGTCGATTGAAGATGGAATGTCATGATCTGGCCAGTTGATATAGTGAAGCTGATACACAGTCCGACAGATCTGGGTCAGGAACAAACAGCACAATCTCAGTTATGAAGCTTTTCCAATTGAATTCGGGGACAAACCACAGGCTATGTTCTACACCACTTTACTCACAAGCACTAATTTTAGTCAAAAAACATCACACGCAGCACAGATGAATGTTGGCCGATGGATTGAATACCATTAGTCCAAAGGCTATGCTGCTTTGAAATATAATTAGTGTGGGAAAGACAACAAAAGCACTGGCAGCATCAATGAAAGAGATCATACTAAGTAGCAATATATAAGCTAAAGCTAGGTACCTAGTGAATTACTGCATAACTCTTATTCTTTGAGCAACATGGGCATCATGGCTATTGCTGGTGATAGTAAGAACTGCCGATGCTGGAGTCAGAGATAACACAGTGTGGAGCTGGAGGAACACAGCAGGCCAGGCAGCATCAGAGGAACAAGAAAACTGACGTTTCGGGTCGGGACCCTTCTTCTGAAGAAGGGTCCCAACCCAAAACATCAGCTTTCCTGTTCCTCTGATGCTGCCTGGCCTGCCATGGCTATTGCTGGCATTTGTTGTCCATCCTTTTGCCACTGAGTAGCTTGCTAGGCAGTGCAGAGATGTCCATATTGCTGTGGGCCTTGAGTCACGTGTGCGCCAGACAAGGTGAGAACAGTAGATTTAAAACCATGACGAGCATAGATAGAGAGGTCAGTAAGGATGTATCTCTTGCATGGTTTAAAGCCAGGACATGGAGTTTTAAGGTATTCATCAGAAAGATGAGGGAGGAGTTGAGGAGTCATTTTTTTTACCCAGAGGGTGTTGGGGTTCTGGAACTCACTGCCTGAAAGGATGGTAGAGACAGAAACCCTCATCACATTGAAAAAACACTTGGATGAGCTCTGGAGGTGTGGGAACTTACAGGGTCACGGGCTAGGAGCTGAAAGGTAGGACTAGGCACAGGAAACAAAGAGACAAGATGGGCAGGGAAGATGGGTGGTTAGAGAAGGAGTTAGAGTAAGAGGAAATAAGAGCGGTGGGAGTGTGAGTAGTGGGTGTAGAGAGATCAGAGTCAGGGTGCAAGAGACTGACACAATAAGGTAGAAAACGGATGCTGGGGGAGAACAGGGAAAGCAGGAGGGAAAGTAATAGAAAGAACCCACTTGAGGGAAAGTGATGTGATTTATATTTTGATTTAACGCATGATTTATTTTCTTGCTGAATGTATCTTGTTAGTAGTTCCATTACATGTGGTGAATAAGTGGATGAGAAACTGGTTGTCCCAAAAAGTCAGCAGTTTAAGAGTTAATAATGTCAGATTGTGAGTGATGACTATGTGTGTTCATCAAGATTACCATTTAACTGCACTTCCTTTACTTACCTTTTGAAATTGAACTTTCAATGTTCTGATGACATATTCTGGTTTAGTCTTCTCTTCTTCCTGGATAATGAAGAGAAGATTCAAAACTGAGTGAACCATAATAATGCACTTCATGACAAGGCTATGTCACATTCTTTTGACATTGCCTGATTTGGAAGCAAGATTAATGGATTTCATAACCCAGCCAACAACAGGGACATGACCACAATCTGTCCAAACTCATCAATCAATTGAAGACCATTGGAACTCTACATGTCAATTGGTGAATACATCAAAATTGCATAACTGACCTCTTTTGCTGGCACACTGAGTTCAATCTAGTTGAATGTTAATTCACACAGACAAACAAGTTCCCAGGTTTTGAGTTAGAAATGGGGGTGCTACAATCATAGAATTTTACATCAGAAGAGGCCAATCAGTTATAGCTGTGCTGGCTCTTTAAAAGTTCAACTAATTCGTTCCAATTTACATTGTAATCCCCACATCCTTGCACATCTTTCATTTTTAAATATATACATCCAATTCCTTTTTTAAAGTTCAAACATTCTAACATACTAACAATTGATGTAACCCAGGACTACATCCAATCAAAGTCGGGAATCGAACAGTGAATATAAAGCTCAGTGTGAAAGGACTGGCTTCCTTTTTGCATTCTTGAGGCCTTGAAATGTCATTGTTTGAAATATAATGGACATTTGTGTTGTTTTTCCATGAAATGGACATCCTATCTCAGGTAGAGAATTCCAAAAACTCACAATCCTCTAATCGAAGAAACGTCTGCTCTTCTCAATCTGCAACAGCTTCTCGGCATCTAATCTGTCAGACCCTCTCAAAATTATGTACTTCAATGAGATCATCCATTGACTAGAAACACAACTGGACTCGCCACATAAACACAGTGGCTACAAGAGTAGGTCAGCGATTGCAATGAGTAACTCACCTGATTCCCAAAGCCTGTTCACCATCTACAAGGCACAAGTTCAGGAGTGGGATGGAATACTCCTCCCTTGCCTGGATGGGTGCAGCTCCAAACAACACTCAAGAAGCTTGACACCATCCAGGACAAAGCAGCCCACTTGATTGGCACCACATCCACAAGCATCCACTCCCTCCACCACCGACACCCAGTAGCAGCAGTGTGTACTATCTACAAGATGCACTGCAGAAACTCACCAAAGATCTTCAGACAGCACCTTCCAAACACACAACATTTCCATCTAGAAGGACAAGGGCAGCAGATATATGGAAACACCACCAATTTCAAGTTCCCCTTCAAGTCACTCACCATCCTGACTTGGAAATATATCGCCGTTCCTTCAGTGTCACTGGGTCAAAATCCTGGAATTCCCTCCCTAATGGCGTTGTGGGTCAACCCACAGCAGGTGAATTGCAGTGGTTCAAGGAGGCAGCTCGTCACCACCTTCTCAAGGGAGAACTAGGAATGGGCAATAAATGCTGCCCCAGTCAGCGACACTCACATTCCACAAAATGAGTTAAAAAAACTTGTTCTCAACTGCAGGGAAAGTAGGTTCATCCTCAGTTTCTGTTTCATGGGACAATCTTCTTATCCCAGGAATCAATCCCATTAGGTTTTCTTGCATTTGCTTTAAGTATATTTAATTATATCTTTTCTTGGGTAAGGAGCCCAGGAGTGTAGACAGTACTTCAAGTGATGTTTCACCAAAGCCTTAGATAACCGGATCGAGTCTTCCATATTTTTATATCCTAAACCTCTTGCAATAAAGATTGCTTTACTATTTTCTTTCCCTGTTGCTTACTTGGGCAAGCTAAACAAAATTGACGGGAATGTTAGAAATACGGACCTGGAGCTGACTCACTCCACTCAGGGGTAAGCGATATTCACCCATAGTTAAAATACTCACACAGGTAACACAGAAAGGACCGTTACGGTATGGATCCTCCCCCATGCCTGTCCAGTATTGCTCACATTTTTTCTAAAATGTAAAGACAGACATCAATCAGAGAAGCACAGGAAGAATACATTCTGCCCATTATGCTTGTATCGATTTTTTGAAGAACTGTCTAATTCGTCCCACTTTCTGGCTCTTTTCCAATAGACCTGCATTTTTCTTTTACCTTTTCAAATATTTATCCAGCTCCCCTCTGAAAGTTATAATTGAAGCTGCTTCCACCACTCTTCCAGATCACAACAATTTGGAGTGTAAAATAAATTGGCCATAATCACTCCCTAACTTTTTTTTATCGTTTAAAATCTTTTCCCATGGGTTACAGATCCCTCAACCAGTGAGTATAGTTTATCTACGCCAGTGTAATTTCCTTGAACAACAATCATGTTGTTTTCTAAATTCTTCCGAAGAATGAAAACATAGGAGATGGAGGCAATGACAACTTACCCGCCCCATTTCAATCACACGACACGCCATGACTATGACCTGACAGAACGAGGGAAAAACAAACACATCAGTAAGATAGTTTCTGATATTGAACTCCAATCTTTAAATGTGTGAAAACAGTCTATAACAACTTCCAGTTAAGTGAAGAAAGAACTTTTTATGATATTGTTTAAGGGAAGAAAATATTTTTCAGAGGAGGAGTGATAGGGAAATACAGAGAAATATTTCAGAAATCAGTAGGTTTGAGAAGGCGTGGGATTTAGGGAAAAGTCTTGGGATTTAGGGAAAATATGTGACAAGGAATGGGTTTGGAAAGAGCATTATTGCTGAGTGTGGAGTCATAGTAGCTTAAGACAATGGTGGGTGGCATGGGGGAAGGAGAGAAGGATTGTAGAGGGAATTCAAGTCAGAAAAGCCAAGGGAGAATTGGGATAAAGGTTTGGAGTTTCAAGGAAGGGGAATTGATGCATTGGAAGCTGGACAGCTAATGGAGATTTGTGGGGATTGGATGACAAAATGTGAAGATTTAATAAAGGACTAATTTACAAGAGGCAAACTATTCAATGAGTTAGAGTTTTCCTGGGATTAGATCAAGAAATAAATTCTGGAGGTAACAATGTTAAAGATAAGGCTTTAGTGGCACTGGAAATGGTGCAAGACCACAGGAAGACAGTGTCATTTGAGAAATAATCTTGGGTGTGGATTGGATTCAAGCTCTTATGCAAAACTTAGAATCAAAGAGGACATGAAGACTCCACTCTAATTCAGCCCAATGAAAATAAGTTTATATTTCTCTCCAATAAAGTGTTTATCAATCCTGAGGGTAAAAGGCTGTGGAAACAGATGGCCAATCTGTAAAGCGCATATGTGCAATCAGAGGTTGGGGAGTGGGGAGCTTCCAGTTTCTGAGTTGGAACATCCCGAGTGGGCTGAATGGCCTCTTCTTGTTTCTCTGGCTCTAAGCCTATTAGCACTGAGCTGAACTCTACTCCAGTGAATTGGATAATGGTGGTCACAGTGTTGAGGCTGGTGCTAGAGACAAACTTTAGTGCCATTTCTTTCCTTATGGAAACTGGTTCCCAGGCCACAGTTAATGTCATGGATAGCATTGAAGAAAACAGCATTGGGGAATGTTGTGAAGCAGCTCTTGGAGGAAGTTATTGATGTTGTTGGGACAGAGAAGAAGGCAATCTCAACCATGATATGGAAAATAAATATGGGGCAAGGAATTAAGAAAGAAAAGAAAGATTTTTGCATTTCTTTGGCACTTTTTATATTTTCAGAATATTCCAAAGGTTTTTTTTAGCCAATAAAATTATGTTGAAGCATAATCATTGCTGTAATGTGGGAAATATGACAGCCAACATATGCACAGGAAGCTCCCAGAATCAGCAATGTTATTATGGCCAGATAATCTGTTTCAGTGACACTGATTGAGATTTAAATATTGACCATGCCACCAGGGATAATTCACCTGCTGTTCTCTGAAACTATACCATAGGATCTTTCTGTTCAAGTCATTAGGCAGAGGGGGCTTCAGTGTCACATCCCAAATAGAAGACAGCACCTCTGACAGTGCAGCACCTCCTCAGCATTGCATTGAAGTGTCAGTCCTACTTCCCTTGGCCAAGACTGGATTGGAATAGGTCCAAGAAGCGACAGACTAATGTTTAACTGATTGAGCCAACAAATCCCAGATGTAAAAGACCCAGTGTCCAGCTGACTGCATCATATGATCTCCCAATGGCTTTGGGTTCAATCATGGAAAATGGAGGCCACTGGTGACCTAGTACCTCTGCAGGCAAATGTGGACAGGAAGTTCCTGAGTCTTCAACTCGTACCTATTAGTAACAAGAGACGATGGAAATGGTATCTCTGAGATCACCTACTTACAGTTTGTCAGTAATGCTATCAAGCTCATTCTACTGTCACCATTTTCCTGCAAAAATGGAAAATACATATGAACACAGGAACAGGAGGAGGCCATTCAGCCCCTCGAGCGTGTTCTGCCATTCTACTAGATTGTGGCTGATCTGTGGCCTAACTCCATATACCTGCCCTCGTGTGATTTCCCTTAATACCTTTGCTGAACAAAAATTTATCTATCTCAGATTTAAAGCTAACAACTCGACTAACATCAACAGCTGTTTGTGGAAGAGATCTCCAAACATCCAGCACCCTTTGTGTATAGAAAGTTCTGCTAAGTAAAACAAAAACAGAAGTTGCTGGAAAAGCTCAGCAGGTCTGACAGCATCTGTGAAGAGCAATCAGAGTTAATGTTTCAGGTCTGGTGACCTTTCCTTAGAACTGGTCAGGAGTAAATGATAGGTAGGGATAGAGCCCAAAGAGAGTGAAGAGCAGTTGGATAGACAAAGGAGTTGATAACGATCGGGCTAGGAGAGTGAATAGCTGTTAATGGGGACTGTTAGTGACTAACAATAGGTAGTATGTAATGGCAGGCTATGTGATAACAAGGCCTGGTGTGTGGGGTAGGGGGCTAGGAAATGGGAGAGTTTAGACCCTAAAATTATTGAACTCGATATTGAGTCCGGAGGCCTGCAGTGTCCCCAAGCGGAAAATGAGGTGTTGTTCTTCCAGCTTGCACTGAGCTTCGCTGGAACACTGCAGCAAGCCAGAGACAGAGATGTTGGCCAGGGAGCAGGGTGGTGTGTTAAAGAGGCAGGTACCATCCCCACCTATCGTTTACCCCTTACCCCCTTCCTCCATCCTATCTTCTGCACATAAACCAACGTTTTCCCAGCCACCATCAGTTCTGAGGAAGGGTCACAGGATCCAAAACGTTAACTCTGATTTCTCTTCACAGATGCTGCCAGACCTGCTGGGCTTTTCCAGCAACTTCTGTTTTTGTTCCTGATTTACAGCATCCACAGTTCTTCTGGTTTTTTTATTCTGATAAGCAAAGTTTGCAAAAGAGAGAATTCTGTTTATGCTATTGGGCTTTGGGACGTGGGAATCACTGGCAAAGCTGGCATCCTTACACTGGCTCATGTCTACCTTTGTTTACCCTGATATCGTGACGTTGAGCTTCTTTCTTTCTGACTCACTGATAAAGGATTGTTAAAACTGAATGGTTTACTAGACCATTTCAGAAGGTGGTTAAAACTCAACTATGTTGGTGTGGGAAGTCACGTACAGGTCTAGATCAGATAAGGGTGACAGGTTTCCTTCTCTAAAGGATGTTATGAATATGAGTTCTTGCAACAATCTGACTGCTTCATGTTCCATTTTTCTGAAGCAGATCTTCGATCCCAGATTTCCAAAGGTCTTTTGAGTACTGAAACCACCACAATAGAACTCAGAATGGATGTGCTCTGAATTAGTGGCTCAGTGTTGGGAAAGAGTCAAATGATTCTTGATATTTCCAGTTTTTAAAACCAGGAACCCAGAATGTGGAAGCTGCACGGAATGGAGAATAGGGAAGCTGTCAAATTGGCTGTGAGCGGTTTTGCCAAGAAATTTTCTGACAGGTTCATGCCTCGAACTTTCCGCATATTTATTGTTTTTTTACATGAAACCGGTTATATCCTTAGTTCTGCAAATGTCAACTTTATAATAAAGCTCATGCAATAAGAATTTCCCTTTGATTGCCCACTGCTCAGTTCCTGCAAACTGCATGGCAGCCTACATTATTTTTTTGACCTGAATTGACCATTTGACACAGTGGTTGGAGGATCCTGCCTAACAATCATATCTCAACCGTGCACCTGGACAAAGACCCCTGTTCAGTCTCATTTTGGAAAGCTTCCAGGAACGTGGGTTTAAATATAAATCAGCGGAATTCTTTCATTTTCAGATGTTTATCACGACCCAGCTTCACAACACAACAAACCATTCCACAGACATCAGATAATGTCCCAGCAAGGATTGGATCCCACTTTATGAGGTTTGTACAGACTCTTTGCTTTGTGATCAGACCATGGATTTCAAATAAAGGACCAGTGCACTCAGTCGTGTGGGAGTACAATAATGTGGTGATTATACAAGAATATACAAGAAGATTATACAAGATGAGGGTGGCATGGTGGCTCAGTGGTTAACACTGCTGCCTCACAGCACCAGGGACCTGGGTTCGATTCTACACTTGGGTGACTGTCTGTGTGGAGTTTGCACATTGTCTGCATGGGTTTCCTCTGGGTGTTCCGGTTTCCTTCCACAGTCCGAAGATGTGCAGGTTAGGTGGATTGGCCATGCTAAATTGCCTGTAGTGTTCAGGGATGTGTAGATTAGGTGGGTTATAGGGTTATAGGGTTATAGGGGGTTGGGTCTGGGTGGTATGCTCTGAGGGTCAGTGTGGACTTGTTGGGTCAAAGGGCCTGTTTCCACACTGTAGGGTTTCTGGGAATTATAGAATCACCCAGAACAAAACTAGACAGTTGGGCTAACACACCAGAGCCTGCTCTCTGGGGAAAAAAAAAATTGTCCAGAAGGAGGGGGCAGGCAATGGCCTAGTGTAGTATCACTGCACTGTTAATCCAGAGACCCAGGCAATGGTCTGGAGACCTGGGTTCAAATCCTGCCACAGAAGTTGGTGGAATTTGAATTTAATAAAAATCTGGAACTAAAATGATGACTAGGAATCCATTGTCAATTGTCAGCAAAAACCCCATCTGATTCACTAATGTCCATTAGGGAAAGAACTGCCATCCTTACCTGGTCTGGCCTACATGTGACTCCAGACCCACAACAACATGGTTGACTGTCAGCTGCCCTGTAGGCAATAAATGCTGCCTAGTCCGTGACACCCTCATCCCATGAACAAATTTTTTAAAAATGAGGCCAACTCTACCAGTTCCTACTCCCAAGCTCTGCAATCCTTTAATTCAGGAAGTTGCTGAATTAATAATTCAGACTACATGAATTCAAATCTCACTACAGTAAATTTGAATTGAGTTTTTAAAAATCTCAAAATAAAAAGGAGAGTAAAAGCAAATAAGAGCCTGTCAGAGTATACTGCCACCCCAACCCTGCCCCCACTAAGTGGTTCCCTAATGTCTTTTAAGGAAGGATATCTACCTGAGTCCAGACCCATGTGAACACCCTTAACTACTGACTGAAATGGGCCTTAACCCAATTTGTTGAATCAAATTAGGGCAACTAGAGAAGGGAAATCAATGTTAACTTTGCTGGAGAATGAACAATCCTTTAAAAATCCTCAACAGCAAGAATCACAAAATTATTACAGTTCAAGAGGAGGCCATTCAGCCCATCATGTCCCTCTGAACATTTAAACTTGTGCTAACCTCAGTGAGAATTACAAAACAAAGCTAGCACTTTTCAGATCCCTAACCATTACAGTTCAGATGAAAAATCTTTGACCTGAAACTTTAATTTTGTCTCTTTGCAGTGACCTTCCAAATTTTTCCAAAAGTACAGTAAACGATTTAGGACAGAGGTGAGGAGACATTTCTTCACCCAAAGAGTGGTGAGCCTGTGGAATTCATTACCACAGGAAGCAGTTGATGCCAAAACATTGAATACGTTCAAGAGGCGACTAGCTATAGCTCTTGGGACGAATGGGATCAAAGATTATGGGGAGAAAACAGGATTAGGCTATTCAGTTGGATGATCATCCATGATTGTGAAGAATGGTGGAGCAGGCTCGAAGGGCTGAATGGCCTCCTGCTGCTCCTATCTTCTATGTTTCTAAGTTTCACCCTTAATTTCTGATTTCAACTATCTGCAGTGTTTTGATTTTGTTGGGAATTGCAATACTGTTTGGTGGTGACATTTTGCACAATTTTCAGATGGTATATATTCAAACATTAGACTGAAAAAAATCAAAAACTTACCAGGACATTATATTCCCACAGCATCCTCCAGAAGTCCGTCACTGTATGGGGCAAAGGACCTTGTGTTGCTATATAAGCTTTTGGTCCATACACTCCCTTCGAGAGAAAACCATTAATAAATGCCACCCAATGTAAATTGACTTTTGAAAAATATACTCTATCAAATGAAGTGCAAGTCACAAAATATAATGTTAAAGAAAAGTGCATATTTTATCAGATATATGTTTTGAGATGTACTGATCTAGTCTCAGATTAATGACATGAGAACATAAGACCCAGGAGCAGGAGTAGGCCATCTGGCCCATTGAACCTACTCCAACATTCAACAAGCTAGTGGCTAATCTTTTCGTGGACTCAGCTCGACTTACTCACTCGCTCACCATAACCCTTAATTCCTTAACTGTTCAAAAATCTATCTTTCTTTGCTTTAAAAATATTCAACGAGGTAACCTCAACTGCTTCACTGTGCAGCAAATTCCACAGATTCACAACACTTTGGGAGAAGAAATTCCTCCTCAACTCAGTCCTAAATCTGGTTATCCTTATTTTGAGGCTATGCCCCCTCATTCTAGTTACACCTGCCAGGGGAAACAACCTCCCTGCTTCCACCTTATCTATTTCTTTCTTAATTTTATGTGTTTCTATAAGATCCCCCCTCATTCTTCTAAATTCCCGTGAATGTAGTCCCAATCTACTCAATGTCTCTTCATAAGCCAACCCTCTCAATTCTGGAATCAACCTAGTGAATCTCCTCTGCAGCCCCTCCAGTGCCAGTGCATCCTTTCTCTAGTAAGGAGACCAGTACTCCAGGTGTGGCCTCACCAGCACCTTATACAGCTGCAGCATAACCTCCCTGTTTTTAAACTCCATCCCTCTTGCAATGAAAAACAATATCCCATTTGCCTTTTTAATTACCTGCTGCACTTGCAAACCAACTTTTTATGATTCATGCACAAGGACATCCAGGTCCCTCTGCACAGCAGCATGCTGCAATTTTTCACCATTTAAATAATAGTCCATTTCGCTGTTATTCCTACCAAAATGGATGACCTCAGATTTACCAACATGCTACTCCATCTGCCAGACCCTTGTCCACTCACTTAACCTTTCTATGTCCCTCTGCAGGCTTCCACTGTGCTGTTCATACTTTGCTCTACACTCATCTCAGTGTCATCTGTAAACTTTAACACACTATATTTGGTCCCTAACTCTAAATCATCTATGTAGATTGTAAACAATTGAGGTCCCAACATTGATCCCTGAAGCACACTACTAGTCACTGATCTCCAACCAGAAAAACACTCATTTATCCCCACTCTTTGCTTTCTGTTAGTTTTTAGGTAGTAAGGGTCTGTAAGAACTTGGGTCAGCCAGCACCACCTGCTCCTTGGATTTAGAAGATTGAGAGTTTTAAACCCTTTATAGGAGAAAAACATGATACTGGAGAAAATCTTTTACGTAATACTGAGAGCATTCTTCATTATCAGATATGATAAAGTTCATATCAATCAGTATCTCCTTTAAATACCACATGCTGTTGTTTAACCTCTTTATTTCTCAATACTTTTCTCCAGTTTACCCTCCTTTGCCCCATTCTTGTCCTCTCACAGCTGGTTAATATTCCAGTCTATTACTTTGATTTAGGACTATATTTTTCTTTCTATCTCTGTAATAATTCTTATAATGTGATCATTATTACCATGGTCTACTTCTCTCACTTGGTCTCATTTCTTTTCCATGTTTAGCAATGCTTATTCTTTTGTTGGACTTCTTACATAGTGGCTCAGAAAGCAAGTCTTGCGCACAAAATAAAATCTCCATCCCTTTCTCTCCTGCCACTTCCTCTCCCCATCAGTTTATTCAGTTCAAACCACCCGACTATGGTATTTTCTCGGGAGATGTATATATCTAAATAATTCTCCCTCCACATTCTTTCTCCTGTCTGATGGCTTGCAGAGTGCCTGCAAATATGATTCATCACTTCTGAACCATTTCCTCAATTTATTAGGATGTCTGTCCCTATGCCTAGTTAAGTCCTTTCTTGCTGCATATTATTTTAATTAATAGTTACCCCATGGTGCCTGCCTTCCAGATAATTTCTAAATACATTAAAGTCTGCAATATTTAACAGCTAATCCAGTCCTGCCTGCAGCATTGTTTCCAATTTCATCTTTACCTTCTCTGCTATAAAGAGGAAAACCTCAGTTTCTATGACTTTGACCTGTCAGTGACTTACACATTTTCCCACTGCATGACTAACTCAACAGTGGGGATGGTTTCAACTGAAATGCTCTGCCATTTTTTTATTGTCACAACATTTCCATTTAGAAAGTGCATACCTTGATGAAATTGGCATTGATATAATCAGAATCACTGTCGGAAATGATCAGCGACAGCTGCACTCGGCTGTGATCAACTGAAAAACAAAATGCAAATTATACGTATACACCCAACACACATTTTCCATTTCCTTGTTCTGCCCATTGAGCTAAGAGGAGCTAAGCTACTTATTTGACCCAGACGTGTCTGTAGTTTCCATCAACTTGGTAATTTCAGAAACTTAAAAGCAGTGAACCAATACCTACATACTCAGGTTCACAAAAAGTAGATTATCCGGCAGTATAAATGGGGCATATTCATCTCCAAAGGTTCTATGAAGGTAGAAGTGATGCTAGAACAGGCATCTCACAAGAAATTCTCATTTGGAGTTTGATGGGCAGGTTATAACAGAGCTGAGTCTTCCATAAGTTGCTCCCAGAACTCTTCATTGTACTGTCACAGGATGGGCTTCTAGTTTCTAGTTCACCTTCTCACATCCTGGGAGCTGCAAGATGCAGCAGTAATGGAGTTATTCCCGAATCAGTGATCAATCTCAATCACTACAACAGACGCCAAACATGATGCGAGGAAAAACTCCAGTGATGGAAAGCTTTCGGAAGCATTGGTCCAAAGTTTGATGGATATATGGGCTAGAAGCCAATCGCCCCTTTGAGCCTGGTCCATCATTCAATAAGATCACGGCTGATCTGACTCTAACCTCAACTCCACATTCTTGCCGATCCCCAGTGATCTTTCACCCCATTTCTTCCCAAAAGTTTGTTTACATTTGCCTTAAAAATATTCAAGGATACTTCTTCCAAACATGTGATCTATAGGAACTTCAGCAAGACATTTGACAAGGTTCCTCATGGTAGACTGGTTAGCAAGGTTAGATCATATGAAATACAGGGAGAACTAGCCATTTGAATAGAGAACTGGCTCAAAGGTGTGGTGGGGGATTGCTTTTCAGACTGGAGGCTGTGACCAGCAGTGTGCCACAAGGATCGGTGCTGGGTCCACTGCTTTTGGTCATTTATATAAATGATTTGCATGAGAGTGTAGGTGGCATGATTAGTAAGTTTGCAGATGACACCAAAAAGATCACCTCGGAGTACAACGGGGCTTTGAACAGATGGACCAAAGGGTGGCAGATGGAGCTTAATTTAGGTAAATGTGAGGTTCTGCATTTTGGAAAGGCAAATCATGGCAGGACTTGTACACTTAATGGTAAAGGAGTGTTGCTGAACAAAGAGACTTTGGAGTGCAGGTTCATGGCTCCGTGAAAGTGGAGTTGCAGGTAGATAGGATAGTGAAGAAGGTGTTTGGTATACTTGAGATAACAAGGTGTAGAGCTGGATGAACACAGCAGGCCAAGCAGCATCATAGGAGCAGGAAGGCTGACATTTTGGGCCTAGACCCTTCATCAGAAATGGGGGAGGGGAAGGAGGTTCTGAAATAAATAGGGAGAGAGGGGGAGGCGGATATAAGATGGATTGAGGAGAAGATAGGTGGAAAGGAAACAGACAGGTCAAAGAGGCAGGGATGGAGCCAGTAAAGGTGAGTGTAGGTGGGGAGGTAGGGAGGAGATAGGTCAGTCCAGGGAGGACGGACATTGGTCAGTGCATTGAGTATAGGAGTTGGGAGGTCATGTTGCGGCTGTACAGGACATTGGTTAGGCCACTATTGGAATACTGTGTGCAATTCTGGTCTCCCCGCTATAGGAAGGATGTTGTGAAACTTGAAAGGGTTCAGAAAAGATTTCCAAGGATGTTGCCAGGGTTAGCGGGTTTGATCTTTGGAAAATGCTGAATAGGCCGGGGCTATTTTCCCCTGGAGTGTCAGAGGCTGAGGGGTCACCTTATCGAAGTTTATAAAATTATGAGGGTCAAGGATAGGGTCTTTCCCCCCAGGGTAGTGCAGTCCAAAACTAGAGGGCATAGGTTTAAGGTGAGAGGGGAAAAATTTAAAAGGGATCTAAGGGGCAAGTTTTTCACGCAGTGGGTGTATGAGTTGCCAGAGGAAGTGGTGGAGGCTGGTACAATTATGACATTTAAAAGGCATCTAGATGGGTATATGAACAGGAAGGGTTTAGAGAGATATGGTACTAGGTTACTTTAGGATAACTGGTTGGCATTGGTAAGATGGATCAAAAGGTCTGCTTCCATGCTGTAAAGCTCTATGACTCTATGTCACGTTCACTGCATATCATGCATCAAAATAGTCCAATAATGGACCTCAAAGTTTTATTTTTTGAAATAAATCCATATAATCTGTATTCGAATAAGTCTACACTAATTGTTTCCACCATCTACCTGATCCACTGATTGACTGCTCACTGGCTGAAATAAAGCTTCTATAAATTATTTTAGAATTTAACCCCTTCATGTACATTGTTTTCTGGTTCTACTGTTCCAAACAAGGTGAAATGCACCATGGTCAATGAGATCTAATCCCTTTAGAATCTTAAAAATAGCAATCATTTGGCCTCCAGACAGTCCCTTTTCCTGTACAAAGATGTCCAATTTATTATATTCTCCTCATAATCCCTCAACTCATTCATTCCAGTTGTTCACCAGTTGTTCTCTGCTGTGAACTTTTGACAGCTGCTATAATACTTTACAGTTCTGCGACCAGAACTGTACTCTGGATTCTAAACATGGTTGTGATAATTATTTCCATCATTTACGGAAACAAAAAGGCTCTTAACCACAGATATATACTCACTGGTGTGTTATCTTCTCTGATCTTTTAGCTACAGGGTGGATTCAGTTTGAGAGCAATTCTATGTTGGAATCTAATGAATCAGATGTCACAGAAGTAGGGCAAAATGCCAACAACTAGTGAGTGATTGAAAACACTAACTGATTCAGTTCAAATCCAGAAAAGTTCACTACCTAATTGTGAGTGTGAGTTACAGTGATGACATCGGCATTTTATTGTGTTCCCATATGTTTTAATTCCACACCACGCTGTTGCTTTTTAAAACACAGCAGGGAGTGATAACGAGGGCACAGGAGGCTTGAAGTTTGCAGTTAGTGGGGAGAGACTGTAGGGGCTCAGGGATCTGAGAGGTAGATGGTAGTTCTGTGGGTGAGTTGAGAATGAGCATGTAATTGTGTGAATGGGTTTGTTTGGTGATCAGGGAAGGCGTTTGATAATCATGGGGATCAGAGCTGGGTGATTCCCTATGATTGGTGAGGGGCTTGGTAATCAGGCAAGGTGAGCAGAAGCAAATATAGTTTGGGGGAAATTTTATTACTTTAAAGCTCATATATATATAAAGACCAGGGAAGTAGAGGAAGGTTCCAGGTGTGGTGTATGTTGGATTCGGAGGAAACTTTCCTGCTCTTCCTGGCCCACAAGCTGTTCTATAAAACCATTTCCCTAATGGATTTGACTGGTCTGAGCCTCCTTTTCCTCACTGGTTTTGTGAAGCCTGTCCAGCGTAGGTTAAAATAGGAAACTTGCGAAATGGAGGCAGACAGATCGTATCATTAAACAGTCTCAACCCCCTTCCTTAGTTCTAATTCTATTAAAGCCAGAAGCATGCATGTTTGAGTAAGTTTATGTTCATTTTTCAGATCTTTAATAGTTTACTCTCTGCCTAACCCTGTCAAATGTGAAGAAAATATAGCAACACAATGCACAGGATAAGGTCCAAGTACCGAAACATCATGAAATCCTGATACTCCTTCATCAATTTTTACATCTAGTTAAAGATGGTATAAAACAGGAACATTTAGCTTCAAATTAAATGCTTCAAATTTTCAATTGTGTGTCAATAAATATCCTACTATACCCTTAAAATGCAGTTATTTGTCTTTCTGAGATATCAACTTAAGATCCTCAGTATTAATTGAGCAAAAAAGTTGAACCTAAGTTAACAACAGAAAAGTCCTCGAGGATAATAGTGTTCTCTGAAAAGGATCGGAAGATTTGAAATGGGAAATTTTGACTTACAGGGTACAATGTCTTTGTAACGATTTTTCTTGATGTTTTCTTTCTTCTCTGCATGACCCGTTGGGTAGACTTTATCATTCCTGTTTTTTACTGACTGCCTTTTCAATCTCTGCAGGAATTTGGGATGAACAAGACAAAGACATATTTGTGAAGTGTTGCAGACATAAAATTGCATCAGCAAAGTATTCCTCTTGCAATGACATCCTTCAGAAAGAGTTTCTCCAGTTCAAAAAATCCCTGCTTATCGACATCACTTCTCTTTGACGAAGAGGATTCATGCAAGTCTCCAATTCTGGCAGAATACCAGAATATGACAATATTACCAGGCCATGTAGCACATCTTATTCCTGGGGATCTTTTCTCCACATGAATCATCCAGTCCAACTCTCTCACTCACTCTCCGGAGTCTGTGATCCTTTAGGGATGAAAACCTGCCATCCTTGCCCAGTGTGGCCCAAATGTGATCCCCAGCAAAGTGACTGACCCTCTCAAAAGCAAAATCTTGTCAATGCTGCAATAAAAACAAAATTTCTCAGAGATGATCAGAAGATTGGGCAGTATTGGTGAATAGAAAATGAACACACAGACAGTTCGATTAGACTGGGTGTGCTTAAAGGATCAAGGAATAAGTAGGAGAGTAGGATTAGAGAAGTTAGGATATTTAAGTCATTGAAAATTACAGTACAGAATGAGGCCATTCAGTCCATTATGTCTACGTCATTTTAAAAATAGCTATCCATCCCAATCCCATTTTCCAAACAAAGCTGCCTCTCAGGCTGAGATGACAAGAGGTCTGAAAGACCTAGCAAGCCACCAAAATATATTCAAGAAAGCTGCTTACCACCATTTTCTCAATAAATACTCTAAACAGTTGTATTCATCTATGTGGAACTTTTAATAGACAATAAATGGAAGGTAACTAGAAAATATAGAGGAACAAGGCCAGGTCTCTGAAGGGAGCAGGACAAGTGGTAAAGGAAGTCTGTGGGATTCTTTCCTTTATTGACTGAAGGAGAAAAGCAGGAAAGTCATGTTAGAACTACACAAGACAGTCCTTCTGCTAGAGGATTGTGTACAGCTCTGGTCACCACATCACAGGAAGGATATGATCATACTAGGGAAGGTACAGATGATGTTACCAGGACTGGGAATTTTAGCTATAAACAAAAATTTAATAGGCTATGCTTGTTTTCTTTAGTGCAGAGGAGGGTGGGGGCATTTAGTTGTGGATTATAAAATTGAAGGGTCTGGATGGAGTGGATAGGAAGGACGAATTTCCTTAGCAGAGAGATCAGTAATGATAGGGCAAAGAGTTTAAGAAATTGGTAGAAGGATTAGAGGGGAAATGAGGATAATGTTTTTCTTCCAGAGGGAGATAGGGGTTTGCAACTCACTACCTGAAGGATGGTAGAGGCAGGAGACTTTTCCAAATTTCAAACTTGGTTACGGACCTGAGATGCTGTAATCTACAAAGTTACAGACCAGGTTCTGGAAAATGGGATTAGGGTGGATAGTTGTTTTTAAAATGACATAGACATAATGGACTGAATGGCCTCATTCTGTAGTGTAATTTTCAATGACTTAAATGTCCTAACTTCTCTAACCCAATCTCCTACTTATTCCTTGATCCTTTAATCACACCCAGTCTAATTGAACTGTCTGTGTGTTCATTCTCTATCCTTTAACATCCCACAGAGTCTATCATCACCTTCCTGCTCTTCCCCTTATCCCTTTTTCAAAAGTTCTTTCATGGGTTGAAGGCATAACTGGCTGGACCAGCATTTATTATCCATTCCCTAACTGAGTGTAATGGCTGTGGATATAAACTAAATGGGTATTTGGAGAGAGACAGACAGAGAGAGAGAGAGAGAGACCTAGGGAATGTCACACCTACTGATGTGAGTTGAATGTTAAATAACAGCCCTTCAAAGAGAGTGGGGTGATGCTGTTGGGAACAGTAAGGAAGGCACATCAAAACAGACTGGACTGAGATCTCTTGTGACTACATGGATAACAAGGGGTTGACCAGCCTTGCTCAACCAATCTGTAAAACTAAGGAAAACAAAACTGACTGTTCAACTACAAATGTCAATGCTACCAGTAATATCCACTGTGATGGCTATAGCATTCAACTGTCAGATCTCTGTGAACATTTCAGAATCAGATCCATATACCTTCTTTTTAAAAAGTTTTAGCCTTTTAACCTCACCCTTTGTTTCTAATCTGTTTGTATGTGTGATGCATTGACTAATTAATTCACTCACTCTTCGTTAACTTGAGAAAGCCTGGTTGAATTGACTCCTTTTAAAATATAATTGGCTTGAATGTGGGAGAAAGTTATCTATAAGGAAGAGGATCAGTTTTTAAATTAACCTTGTTGTGACCAACCGTGGTTAGTGGTGGGGACGGAGAATGCATGAATGAAGTGGGGAGGATAGCACACAATTCATTCTTCCTTACTCAGAGCTGAATCGTTTGGGTATCCCATCTGAAACTGTACTGAAATGGGGAATCTCACATAGTCTGGGCACACTGGTTGTGAGCTGACTCCTTAAATCATTACATTCCATGTGGTGTGGGCACACACACATAGTGCTGGTGGGAAGGGAGTTCCAGGAATCTGACCCAAGGAATAGTGATGTAAGTCCAAGTCAAGATGATATGTTATCTGGAGGAAAACTTTTCAATCACTTCACTTACTTTCAAAGAACCTGTTCTCCGTTTTTGATAGTGATTTCTGCATTCCAAGTACTTTTTCTTTACCCTTCACTTTGCGAATATCTTAAATGTGTGGCCTCTTATCACTCTCTCATTCACCAAAGGAAACAATTCATCACCATCTACTCTTTCATAAACCCTTCACAATCTCAAAACACCATTTTTTAAAAATCACTTTCATCATTTAGCTCTGGTGTGAAAGATATTCTCTAATGTCTCAGGTCATCCCTCATATTTGTAATTCCCTCATCTCTGGAAAAAACATCTTAGTGAGTCTAAATCTGTCACATCGTTCTGAAAAAGTGCTCTCCAAACTAAGTGCAGGCCTTACAATCCAGCTCTGATTGTTGAATTACAATTGAAGTGAATCAAACTGGCCTACAACTTCCAGGCTTCCACTGGTCTTACTCATCTGTTTTTCCCATACTCCTTTCATAAGACCATAAGATACAGGAGCAGAATTAGGTCACTTAGCCCATTAGGTGCCTCACCATTTGACCATGAATGATATGTTTCTCAACCCCATTCTTCTGCTTTCTCCCCACAACCTGAGATCCCCTTACCAATCAAGGTCCTATCTATCTCTGTCCTAAAGACATTCAATGACGTGGCCTCCACAGCCTCCTGCAGCATTGAGCTCCATAGATTCACCACCCACTGGCTGAAGAAATTCCTCCTCATCTCTGTTCTAAAGGGTCATCTAAAGGGAGGCGATAAAAAAATAAATTAAGCTCAACTTCAATTTTCCAAACTAGGGTCTCATGTGATGCAGCGGTAGTGTCCCTACCTCTGAGACAGAAGACCTGGGTTAAAGTCCCACCTGCTCCAGAGGTGTGTAAAAACATCCCTGAACGGGTTGATTCGAAAATATCTCAATTTTCCAAACTTCTTTGGTAATAAGCAAAGATTGAGCTCGAGAATCAGAAGACAACAGTGACTGTCCTGTCAATCCAAAGCTCACTCCTTCTGTGAAAAGTATCACAAAGAGCTTATTTACTGTAAGGAATGACGTTATATCTACAGCAGAGAAACAGATCTAACTGCTCTGTAATTGTTTTCATATTCACACTCAATCAACATGACCTTTCATTTGTTCCCCTTGAATAACTCTTGGTTATTTGCCTTTCCAAGTTCCTCATTCCAGCCATTCTCTGGGACACATTGAACTGAATGAATGAGCTTTATTGTCACATGTACTCAAATGAGTACAGTGAAAAGTTTACAAGTTGCCACTTACGGCATCAACTTAGGTACAAGATACTTAGGTACAGATTTTTCAGTACAAGTTCTTAGGAGAGATAAAAAGAAAAATAAATATATATCCACCTGTTACTATTACATGGCCTCAAGACCTGTAATATATGGTTGTCATACATTGTTATTAATTGGCGAACTTGGATTTGAAAGTACAGGAAAATAGATTTAATTTTCAGTTTTGTGAAGGTGACTTGCTTTCTTTTAACAGAGATCAGAAAGTTATTTTGAAAAGTGAACTAAAGACATATTTCCCAAGAAAGCATGACTCGATCAACTCCCTGGACAGAGTTATTGAAGAAGTGCTTACAAAGTTAAATTTGCATGACATACAGAAGGACAGATGAGCAGGGCCATCAATAGGCTGAAATTGGAAGAAGAAAAGGGCATCCTAGCAGGAGGACAGATTTCAAGCTGGTGTAAGTTTCCAGGCTGTGGGAGTTGGTAGAAATCTGCAGGCTGTCAGATTTGGAAGGAAGTATTCAGGCCTCCAGAGCTGGAAAAATAGTCCTTAACCTGATTCAGCCATCCAAGGAGAATCTGGAAAGAGATTTTTGTATGAGAAATTAAAGAGTTAAGATGGGAGTCATACTTCATTGGGATTGAGTGACTGTAAAGGATATTATCAGAAAAGAAGTGTAAATCTTTTGCAGTTTATGTTGCAATTTTTCTAGATTGCTTTCTTTTCTTTTGTGTAATCAACTTGGGTTATTTTATTAAAAGAATATTGGCAGCCTTGTGTGAACGTGCTCCGTGACTGATCACCACCGTAACCAAATTGTGATTGAGTTTGATTAAATCCTTTTGTATTTGTGATGATTGTGTAAATAGTTGAGCTTGATTTCCAATGCACTATTCCAGTGAGCATTGTCAACTGTAACAATAAAACCTATTGTTTATCAAGCCAGGTTTCACTCTGGGGTCTGACTTGCCCAGTATTACTATCAGCTGGGATCATAACACCTGAATTCAGCAAAGTTTTCTCCATTCATGCTTTTTGGCTTCCGCACAGAAACATAGCAACTGGTCAATTTTAATCTCTTCCTCTTGAGCCTCGTCCCACTTTGCTTCCTCAAATCCAGCTTCCACTTAAGAGCATCTGTCCTATTCACGTCAACTGTGGGAGCAAGTTCCACA